ACTGTGTATTCTAAAATAATTCATCATACCTGACTTTTAATCATACAGCTAAAATTCCACCATTGATGATCTGTGGAGCTCATAATTTTGGAACACAATCTGAAGCCTAGGGCCTTAAGATCTAGGGAGTCTCTGACCACGGTGCATAATATTTTTGGCACTGTCATAAGTCTTTCTTACACATACCCTAGTCTTAAAACATCTTTCATCATCTTCGGCTTAGCTCAATTGTGTTTAAAACTCACATTCATCTTATACAAGTTGTGGGGGAGAGAGAGTTTAACATCCACTCGACACAAACTAGGTCATTTCGGGACTAACACATGATCCAATTTTATTTCAACAATTCGCTTGCGCATAGGGGTCTTTAGCAGTGGGAGGAAACCGGAGAAAACCCACGAAGGTTGGACAGGCGACCCTACTTCTTGTCACGTACAATCGGGGAATCGAAACCCCGCCAGTTGACTCAATGACAGACTGTATGATACAGCGCGCACATGCTAACCATTTGGCCATCCAACAACCTTTCCAAGAGGGTAGGGGATTGTGAAGAGCATCATACAGGAAATAGCCTAGGACCTTTCTTCATCTAAATTTGACTCTGATTATATACAGGCCTTTATTAAGATACAAATTGTATTATTTAAAGATGCATTATGTAAGATTTAAAGATGCATTAAGTAAGAGTTAAATCTGCGAGTTGCATGTTTTTCTTTTGACCTCAAATGTTATATAAATTATTATTTACACATTTATTCACATGGCAAGCCCATAATCCACTCTCTAGGTCGTTGGATAGTCGCGATTTTCAGTGGATCGAAACAAGGTCGCCATTTAAAAATTTTGTTTCAAAATGGATAATCAAGATTTTGATTATTTTCGTAACAGTTTGACAATCGAGACTATATTGTGATCACTTTAAAGCCTGATAACTTTGTTTAGAAATGAGTAATTTGACTGAAATTTTCAATATATTCATTTTTCATTATCTATTTTTGAACTATTATAGCAAGAACAGTCAGCTCTTTGTCCATATCTTGCATAACGCATTCTTTAAGTTACAAATTGTATTGTTCGATTTTAATGTTTAATATAATACTTTTGAGGGGGATTTCACACCCACCTAATTTGAAATCCTTGCCATAATTTTTTATTACATGTAGGTGATTGTTTTTGATTTTGTTTTGTACTAGATGTGGCGCCAGGCAGGGTAAGCTTACTCTTCCGGACACCTGTTACCACTGTTTGTCGTGTATTTTGTACACGGTGAACAGTCCATATGCTGATTACACTATTTTGCCTTATTACACTATTTTGCCTATACCGTTTTTTTTAGGACTTCGAATTTTGTCTAATGGTTTGGATTGTTCGTACTTGTTTTTTTTTTATGTTAACTTAGTCGCCCAACATTGTACGGTAATGTAGTACAGGGGGGACTGCCCAGAGTAAAAAAAAAAAGTGGACTTTTTTTTTTTTTTAGTAAATTAGTGGAATTTATAAATTTTTTACAGGAAATCTTTCATCTTTGGGGTATATTCTATGCCCGGATAACTTGCGGTCTTTCTTTCCCCAGCATAACCTCATTCTCATGCTTTATCCTACACATAATTATATTATCACTAAATTATCTCAAACTCTTTCATGTTGCAAATAAAGACTTAAAACCTATCTTTTTGAGAAATAGTTTTAACTGTATGGGGTGTGGAGTACTAGCGCTATACAAATGTACCTAGAATTTTTTTTATAACAAGAATAAATAGTGCTCTCTGAATTGAACCAGTGCATTCAAGAGCCAATCATCAGGAAATGAAATTAGGTTTAACGTCCCGCTTTTTTTACTCCTTCCAGGCTGAGTCACATGCATAGAAGTAAGCATATGAGCATACACATTACTAGGTTAAGAGTTAGAATTATGATGTAAATTCTGCTCCATAGACTTGGATTTTCATAACACCAGAATGACCAGATCAACTCTCCATCTGCAACACGGGCAAGGAGCATATTAGCATATGCATTACTAGGTTAAGAGTTAGAATTATGATGTAAATTCTGCTCCATAGACCTTGGTTTTTCATAACACCTGAATGACTAGGCCAACTCTCCATCTGCAACACGGGCAAGGAGCATATTAGCATATGCATTACGAGGTTAAGAGTTAGAATTATGATGTAAATTCTGCTCCATAGACCTTGGTTTTTCATAACACCTGAATGACTAGGCCAACTCCCCATCTGCAACACCGGCAATGAGAAACCACGCTGGAAATTCCTAGGGCCCAGTTTCACCAAATTTTAACTAAGATAGAATCCAAATTTTAGTAATTTGATTGGATAATAATAAATTGATTTTAGTGCTTAGCCAATCAAAATTGAAGTATCTACTAAAATTTGGATTTTATCTTTAGTTAAAATTTTGTGAAACAGGCCACAGAGGACTATTTGCGGCCAACACCAGGATCGAACCCCAGACCTCCAGGTTAGTGAGCCAGCATCATCATAAAAGTACCGGTTGAAAGCCTTAGTTGTCGAGATGCATTATCATTTTATAGAAAAGGAAGCACAGTAATTTTTACTATTTGTGAACTTTGGAATCCAAAGTTTGGGAGAAATGAGGTGTAACATCAGCTTGACACCAACTTGATAATTTCGGGACTAACATATTGTTCAATTTTATTTCAATAATTCGCTTGCACGTAGGGGTCTTTAGTGGGAGGACCCGGGGAAAAGCCACGAGGTTGGACAGGTGACCCAACTCCTTGTCGTATACAAGCGGGGAAACCAAACCATTCACCCCTGCCCACCCAAGTTTGAATTAAAAGTTAAAACAAATATTTTTTACTATGTGAATGCTTTAGTTCTAATGGGTGGTGGTATCAGGTCTTCTAAAAAAAGAGTAAGCATACCCTGCCTTGTGCAAGCTGCGCTCTTAGAACTTCCTGGATATACAAAATGGAATTGGGTTTAACGTCCTACTTCTCAGCACAAATTAGGCTAATAAAGATGGATATATGTCATGCAGTGTGCTATGAGGGAAATTTTTCTTGGACAGTGGCGCTGCTACTCTTATTTCGAATTCCAACTGCCAAAGGTTCTTTTACACATGCCAACATGTACACATGACCTCAATGTTTTCATCCCATCTGAATAACTAGATGCTGTTTCATGTCAGGTACCTCATCCTGCTCCACTGGCAAGTGCTAGGGCTTTTACTCAAAAATTTGCTGGTCAGCCATGCTTGGAAAAATATTTTGTTCAATTTCCATTTTTATATATTTTTACACATAAAACAGTAAATTTAAAGGGGTATATTATGGAAGATTAGATAAAGAGCTACACTATAGACACAGAACACTAAGCTAGTTGACCGACGATTAAGTCTGAAATCAACGATTTTAGTAAAAAAAATGGTATATTTTGAGAATTTTGAGAAGTAAATTAGTCGTTTTGTGTCTAACAGATTTGAACAGGAGTAGGACCACATTACAAAACAGTATACTAATTGTTGGATATGGCTGCCATTTAGGGAAGAGATCTATTCTCGAAGTAGTGTATATAGTTCTACGTGTCCAGAATGGTTACAAGTAGACAAGAGCCCTGGATTAACCCTTTAGGTGAGAGAGAGAGAGAGAAATGGGGTTTAAAGTCCACTTGACACAAACTAGGTCATTTTGGGACTAACATGGTTTAATTTTATTTCAATAATTCGCTTGCGCGTAGGGGTCTTTAGCAGTGGGAGGAAACCGGAGGAGCCGGAGAAAACCCACGAGGTTGGACAGGCGACCCTACTCCTTGTCATGATCACATACAACTGGGGATTCGAAACCCAACACTTTAAGTACATGTAAATATTGACTATACCCCATCAGTTCTCTAAGAAAACTAGAGAAAAGTGATATATCAATACTGGTACATCTCTGGACAGACTGAAACATCTAGCCCCAAGTTCAACAAACATTCTCAGACTTAAGTTAAGAATTTACTCAAGATTGTTTGTCTTATTTTAACTAAAATGACTCAAACCATCGATTCAAACAGTCTGGTCTAATTAATGCTTTCACTTTCAAACGAATTCTTGTTGTTTAGCTGACGGTGCCCTAATCCTATAGAGTGGCTATAGACAGACATCTTGTGGAATCGGCGGCGTATACACTTATGCCCATCACCGACGCACATGAGTGCAATTTGATGTAGCATTGTTTCATGTGTGGACAGTACAAAGTACAAGTTACAAGGCTTAAATAGTGAAGTGGCTAGGGAATAGATTCGTCTTTTTTCCCATCATAATGCCTCGCTCGCCATGACAATTTTCGAGTTGCATGTTCAACTGGCTTTTTTGCTCGATTTCAAGGCTATTTTTCAACGATTTCTGAACGTTTACTTAGATGAAAATATCAGCCAAATAGTACTTGGAATGGCTACAGATGCAAGGAAATGACGGATAATTTTCTTGGGGACCCCCCCCCCCCCCAAAAAATCGCCTCTCAGCGGCGTGCCCCGTCTCCGCGGTCAGTGCCCTCATTTTGCGGCGCCCCCCCTTATCAAAATTCCTAGATCCGCCCCTGAATAAGAAACTATGTGCAAAGTTTTCTGTGTCTGGATCAATGATATTTCTCAACAATGATTGAAAGTTGAGTAAATTCTAAACCTAAGTCTAAGAATGCTTTGTGAACTCGGGGGCCTGTTCATTACATCCCCTCAAACTGTCCGAGATATGTGAATAGCTTTCTGCATTATAGGACCATTAACTAGTTCATGCAGGCGCCAGAGCTGTGCACGTGACAGGAGCCCTAGTAAGGGTGGTTTGGGGCGATCATAATGCAGGCGCCAGAGCTGTGCACATGACAGGAGCCCTAGAAAAGGCGATTTGGGGCGATCATAGTGCCAAATCCTAACACATACTATACAAATTTTTTATTTCATATCAACCAATTTTTATTTCATTTCTTTAAGCTGTAACCATATATTATAATGGCTAGATAAGAAAATAAGAAAACAACAAAACAATATAAAATATTTGTTTATCTTCAACAAATAATAAAATAATAAACATGAAATAATGTACAAATGATAAAATGAAAGTTCTGCAAGGCCAAACCAATTCAATTTTAAATTCTTTGGCATCTTGATAACACATCAACAAAACACAAATTTTTAGGGGAAATTACAGGTTTTATTCTAAAAGTACCACATTTCGACAAGTGAAATGAAATGGGGTTTAACATCCTACTCCGACTGGGCATATGCCAGACAGTGTGCTATGAGGGAAATTTTGCCTGTAGAGCAGCACTACAGCCTACACTTTTTTTCGAATTCCAACTGCCAAGGGATCCTTGACATACACGCTAATGTGCACACCGGTCATTGGTTTCTAGTCCCATCCGAATGATTATCTGTTGTCCCTTGCAAGGACCTGTCTTGCATCACTGACTAAGTGGAACCATGCCGGAAAATCCTTATGAACTTCTCAACCAAACATGAGACCTCTGGGATAGCAAGTCAACGTCTTATTCACTGTGGCTCTCTGGTTTTACTATACCAGCGCGGCATTTCGGCAAGTATCCTCTTATCGTTAGAAAGCACTTTGCTAACGATAAGAGGATACTTGTCGAAAAGTCATGCTTTTAGAATAAAACCTGTGATTATTTCCCATAATATCTTGATAGCTACTCAAGTCTCGGGGGGGGGGGGGGGGGGAGAGAAATGTTTTGCTTATAATTTTGAAACTTGAAACTAAAATGATATAAATTTCAAGTTCTTCAGAGTCTTGACAAAAAATCTTGTGAATAATGCTTTATTTAAAATTACAACATTTCGAACTAAAAGCTTTTGGAGAAGAACATCAGCAGAAAAAAGCTAAATTCTTATACCAGTAGGTGTTTCCAAAAAACAAAATTGTGAATTGGTGTGGCCTAATGCATGATATTTGTTCAACTTGGGAGGTTAGATCTATTTCTTAAGGTCAACTTCAAGTTTGGTCAAAGGTCATGAAATGTAAACAGGGCTAGCACTAATCCCAATCCTAACCCTGGACCTAGTCCTAATGCTTACCCTAACCCTAACCTAAAATCTCGCCAACAATCACATGCCGTAACCTTATTTACATCTCAGCAACCTTGACAAAATCTTGATTTGGCCTTAAGAATTAGATCTAGTCCACTTGGGCCCCTAATTTACATGAAGGATGAAAAAGGTGTGACTCTTTCAGTAAAGTTCAACTATTCTGATATGAATACAATGAAATGGTGAAATTTAATGCCTTACTTTCCTGCACCACAGGGGCTAATGAAGGCGAGCATAAGCTATGCCATGCAGTGTGTTATAGTGGAATTTTGGCCTAATACATAGGATGTTGTAGAGTTCAACTGTTTGATTTCATATTCAACAAAGTCTCGATTATCCATTTTAATGTTAAATTATTCAATGGCGATAGTGTTTAATCCATTAAATATCACAGCCATCTGATGGACTAGAGAGTTGTTTATGGGTTTTTATGTGAATAAATGAGTAATTAATAATTTATATAAAATTTAAAGCCCCCAAAAAGATGTGCATTAGGCAGACTTGTGTGGATATATTTGATATCAGAAAAGACTGTTAAGACAATGAGATTCCCATTTTATAAAATAATACATGAACTGTATCACACAAAGTGTATAAATCTCAGATTTCACATTCCAACAGTTTTATAAAAATAATTGGAAGAGGTTAACCACAGTATGGTAGTCAACTGTTTATTTTGACAACTCTGTATAATAAAGGGGGGTTGGATGGCCGAATGGTTAGCACGGTATTATACGGTCTGTGATTGAGTCAACTGACAAGGAGTAGGGTTGCCTGTCCAACCTCATGGGTTTTCTCCGGGTCCTCCGGTTTCCTCCGACTGCTAAAGACCCCTACGCACAAACGAATTATTGAAATAAAACTGAACCATGTGTTAGTCCCGAAATGACCTGGTTTGTGTCGAGTGGACGTTAAACCCCATTTCTCTCTCTCTCTGTATAACAAACAATCACAAGCTAAGGAATAAAATGAGAAAGGTGTTATTTGTAACCATGGTATTTTGGGCAACTTTTTATTGGGATAATTAACAACCAAAAGGGGTACTTGGTAATTTGAATGCTTCAAAACCAATCTGATTAAAACACAGATCCTATTTCGTTTCGATTTTTATAGTTCAAAATTTCGTTTTATTTTTCTTTTCTACACTAGGATCTGGAAAGTTAATATATAACCTGCCTTCTGGATGGCGTGTGGGATTAGCCAATGAAACCATCTGTTACAGCGACTTCTTAGCGTGCGATGCACAGAACTGTGGGTAAACCACTAGAAACGTCAATGCTGATTGATTAATCAATGTCTGACGTCACAGGGTCAAAAGCCGACTACAACTGGTCAGATCTTCATGTAATGTAGGCCATTGAAAGTATAAAAAAACAAAACGAAATATCTTAACCTGAATGCTTCAAATCTATTTACGAGGTAATCATAATTCATGAATACAGTATTTAAGAGGTGGGGTGAGACATCCAATCGACACAAACTAGGTCATTCCTGGTGTAACATGGTTCAAATTTATTTCAATAATTTGTTTGCACGTAGGGGTCTTTAGCAGTGGGAGAAAACCGGAGGACCTGGAGAACAATAACTGCAGTCTACAAGATTTCACAACTAAGCGGCTTAATTCTGGAGGTGGTTATCGTTCAAAGTTGAAAATCGATAGCCGTCTTTATTTCAACGAGTTATAAAGAACTAATGTAATTTTTAGAAAGAAACAGAATTATAGCCTCTTGCACTAACAACAATTGTTGACGACAGACAGGGGAGATCTGAATATTTAACCACATTAACATTTCATTTAGGTCTCCGTTCAAATTTCACATTCAAGCAGTCTTGACAGGGGTGATCTGAATATTTAGCCATATTAACTTTTTTTAAAAGTCTCCCCACAAATTTCATATTCAAGCAGTCTTATTAACAAAAATGATAGAAATAAAGTAAGTGATGCAGTCAAAACTAACAGTCACGCGACGTAATATCACATGATCATCACCAGCCACTATGTATATTCTCTTTTCTTTTACGTCTATCACTGCCACCGCCTCCGCCAAAATCATCAATCATACCTCCTCCAAACCCTCCTCCACCTCCAAACCCTCCTCCACCACGGAATCCTCTTCCCCCACCTCTACCTCCACGTCCACCCCCTCGTCCTCCACCACGACCACCAAGTGATTCCCGTTCTTCAGCCATTTTATCACAATGGCGACGATATCGGGCTGCCATATCTTCTAAATATTGAGGAATTTCCTGTAAAGACGAAAGCATGTGATCATAGTTCCATTTTATGAGCGTCTTCCTTAGCCCAGTCGGTGCAGAAAAGTAGGATGTTAAACCACATTTCATTTCATTTTGTAACGCATAAAAGTGATACAAACTTTAAAATCTTACTTTCATTTTACTTTTCTTTCCAAGTCATTTTGGGACTAACACATGTTATATTTCATATAAATTATTTCCTCAAAGAGAGGAATATTTTTACTCATTATTTCCTTGTATGAGGTGACAAGAGAAAACACAAGTGATTCCTAGGCATCACAGCAATGACAGCAGTACATTTCTATTTCCAATGCTTTGCATGAGACCTAGGTTTTCCATCCAATCCGAAAGATTAGACATGTTTCCTTTAGTGGCTCTCTGTCTAGAAACACTTGCCAGGCTAGAAAATTTTGAGGGACTTTCTAGGTTGACATTGGGATCAAACCTGGGACCTCCTCTTTAGTGAGCTATCCTGGTATTTACCAAGAAACCATTGTACATAACGGATGGACACACTGGGCAATTGTCTGAGGGCCCCACATGCATAGGGCCCAATGCTAATCTATGTATGTTGTGATGACTTGCTCTCAATAAATAAATCGATGCTGTAGAGCATGTTCTTTTTAATGTTTATACACCAATTGTGATAGAAATAACCAATAAAATAAATCAATTTGTTTTATTCTAGTAAGGGGTTGTATGTTGGGGTCCCAGTTGAGTGTGTTTCCGTGGGGCATCTAATGCTGTTAAGACAGCTCTGGATGAAAGACACACAGAACACACAGTAGGTCATTCATCATACCAACTCACCTAGAAATATTCAAGAAATGAATTACCTGATCAGCCTCAGCCATGATGTCTATAAGTTTCTGAGCTTGTCTCCAGTCTCCTCTAGTTATCAATGTTATAGCTGTACCAGTGTTCCTAGACAAATATATAAACAATGTTATAGCTATATCAGTCTTAATCGACAAATATATACTATTCAAAAAAAGTAGGGGATATTTGATTTTTAAGTGTTATTAAAGTCACCTAATGAAACTGACGAAGAAACAAATGACAAAATGAAATGAAGTTCACATTCATCGATTTATTCCAAATGATCGTTAGACTAAGTAAGGCACAGACTGACCATTATAAGGGTAAAATGATACCCGGGGTCAATCAGCAAAGTTACCACAGCATCACAACCAAGTCAGTAACGGGTAAATCCTCCTCTGTTTGCCAAACAAGCATTGATCCGACGTGGCATACTCCTAATGAGACGTCTAAGGTCATTTTGGTCCAGATTGTCCCATTCCTGTTGCAACGCAGCAGCAAGTTTTTGGACATTGGCAGGACGTTGTTGACGTTGACGTAACCTCTGTCCAAGCATGTCCCAGACATGCTCGATGGGGGAGAGGTCGGGACTCAGTGCTGGCCAAGGTAATGTGGTGATGTTCTGTTGTTGGAGGTAACCTGTAACGATCCTGGCACTGTGACATCTTGCGTTGTCATCCTGGAAGATGAAACGGCGGCCATGACGTCGTGCGAACGGCACAACATGGACTGCCAAGATGTTGTCCCGGTAGTACTGGCCTGTAACACGCCCTGCAACAACATGTAAAGCCGTTCTTCCAGCAACAGTGATGCCTCCCCACACCATAACAGAACCACCCCCAAATCGATCATGTCTGATGATGTTAACGTCTTGGAAGAGCTCGTTTCGACGACGCCACACCCTCCTACGTCTGTCCAAAAAATCAACAGTGAACCTTGACTCATCTGAAAACATCACATTGCTCCAGCGTCGATTATCCCAGTGTTGACGATCCCTACACCAACGACGTCTTGCCTGAATGTGATGATCTCTCAAACAAGGGATCACGCGAGGACGTCGGGCGCCCGAAGGTGACCCCTATGCAGTCGATTCCGAATCGTCTGGCCACTCACTCTCACACCAGTGTCTGTTTGAAGACGAGCGCTGATCTGATTTGCTGTGATGACACGATTTCTCAAGGGCAAGGTACGGATAAATCAATCCTGGGCTTGAGTTGTCGCCCTTGGTCGACCTGAGCGTGGTCTGTCCTGTACAGATTGTGTATCATGGTATCTGGACCAAAGCCTGCTTATGACAGACTGAGAAACATTCATTGTCCGCGCCACAACCGCCTGTGTAGCATGCCAAGGGCACGTAACCTTTCATTTTGGGTAAGCCGACGCATATCAAAATTTGTTTTCTGGTCACTAAAACAATTAAACTGATGTTTCCACCCTGGAATTCAATGCCACAATGACTGTAACATTCAAAGTCAGAGTCGTGCAAATCTTGGGTTGGACCCCCATGATGATCCCAAGCATCACCTGCATTCCATGCGGTAGCTATTGGTGCGTTTGGGCGTCACATGTAACTGGAAATGTTTCTTCTGTTAGGTTCTATAGTGACTTTTTTCGTAGTCATTTGCATATTTTAGTATTATTTCCTTCAAAATCAAATATCCCCTACTTTTTTTGAATTGTATATAAACAATGTTTTAGCTATACCAGTGTTCCTACATAAATATATAAACAATGTTTTAGCTGTACCAGTGTTCATTGATAAATATATAAACAATGTTATAGCTACACCAGTTAGACAATGTTTTAGCTATACTAGTATTCCTATACTTTGCCCCCAGATATTTTTGTTCAGCAAGATACAATGGCAATTTTAGCACTATTCCATTTCAAAAATATGTTTTAACACATAAAAAGGAGGGAGAGAGGGAGGGAGGGTGAATGAGAGAGAGAGATGTGTTTTAACATCCACTCAGCACAAACTAGGTCACTTCGGGACTAACATATGGTTATTTTATATTAATAATTCAATTTCATGTAGGGGTCTTTAGCAGTAGGAGAAAACCGGAGGACCCAGAGAAAACCAACGAGGTTGGACAGGCGACCCTTCTCCTTATCACGTACAAGCAGGGAATCAAAACCATGCCAGTTAACACAATGACAGACCTTATGATACAGCGCGCTGTACAATCCCCCCTCATAAAAAGTATAAATTTATATATTGGGTCTTAGTGTTAAATTTTGATGGCCTGTAAATTGACTGAGTGGTAAATCAGATGAAATGAAATGGGGTTTAACGTCCTACTGTTCTGCTCCGACTGGGCCAATGAAGATGGGCATATGCCATACAGTGTGTTATGAGGGAATTTTTGCCCGGGCAGCGGCACTATGGCCTACTCTTATATCGAATTCCAACTGTCAAGGGATCTTTTACGTGCACGCCAATGTATATACGGGACCTTGCTTTTTCGTCTCATCCGAATGACTAGACAGCTGTGCTTGTCAGACCCTCCATCCTGCACCACTGACAAGGGGATACCATGTCGGAAAATCCCGATGAACTTTCTTGGCCAGTGTCTTACACACTTAGCCACCATGACTCCGCTGAGAGGTATAAGTTATGATGTCTTACCCAGCTCTGCCTGTTCGACCAATACGATGGACATACTCTTCAATACTTCTTGGAAAATCATAATTAAATACATGTCTGAAATATATCAAATATTATACTTAATATTATACACCTGAATTAAGGCCTCACATGATCTAATGGATATCAAAATATTGTGCATCATAATAGATTATATAATTTTTGATCATCGTTTTAAAGTTTGAAAAGTTAGCCGGGTTTGGCTGTGATCCCTTCACATCATAGAAATATGTATAAGGCAACACAAATAAAATAAGTTGTTTCTCGGGCACCGCCGCACGCAAAATTTGATGAAAAATAAAAAATATGTAACGCCCGCCCGAACATCGATAAGCAAGTCATAAAAAGAATATGCCGCATGTTTCTACATGCCCCTTACGTGAATATCCATTCAAATGTATTAAACTGATTCAGATGTAAACGCTCATTTACGGGTCTTTTTTATTGATATCGAAAGAACCTCCATTTTTGTATCACATGATTTTAATTACCTCCCCTTGTGAACTAGAATTTGATTCGTGTTAAACACCGAAAGTCATTGACAACAATGCAATGTATTTCAATCATTCGATCTTAATCGGCTCATTATTGCCGGCTTCAGTCGGTCCATGTTTGAAAAAATCCTACTTATAAAACAATGAATCGTAGAACAGGTTAATTATTATAACTTGTGGCTACGAATACGATACGATGATAGTCACCATCCCTTAGTCAGAATCTGGGTCATTAGCACAATTAACGGTAGTTTTGATAATCCGGAAAATAATAATTGGATTACACATTTGATGGTTTTACTGACGAGTTGTTAGTTAAATTTAAATAGTCATTCGATATAAACCCCAGATAGAACACCGAATATCCTGAGAAACACACCGAATATCCTGAGAAACAGTCATTTCCCGAATCCCGATGACATGTGACATGCATTGGTTGGAATTAGGTCAATCATTATAAACCAGCGATACTAGATTTAGATCTAAGTGTCGTTTACTGTGATGATTATTTTTGATACACATGCTGACAGAGGCTTACTCTTTAAAATATTGTCGTTATTATGGACGGCTATTAATAGTCGTACGGAATTTTATTTTAAACCAATTTCAATTATGGTTGTCACCATTACCATTAGTAAGCTACATTACATGAATTAAATATGGAAAATTATTTTCCTTTCAGTCAGTGTTTGAGTAGACTTGATTTTTGGGTTTATGTTCTAAGTATGTATAATATATAACTGAAAGCAAAACCGTAGACAAGTAATGACTTTCTCATTAAAAAAAAAAAAAAAAAAAAAGTACAAGGCCGCCCTCCCGCCCCAACAATTTTCAACAATAGCCAAATTTTATTTTGCACCATCCTCTAGCCAGAAATCAGGTAAAAAAAAAAATAAACCGCCCTCCCCCCTACAGTTTCAGCTGTCAGTTGCCCGAGAAACAAGACATTTATTTTGTGTAGCCTAATATAGGTACAAATATTCACCACACCATATCAATAAATACAAATAATGCAACACAAATAAACTTATTTTCAAACAAGCTCTAGGAGACGCACAGTTTTCATATGCCCACTTTTTCATATGAATGTATATTGCTGTCACCCCTGTCTGTCAGGCCGTCCATCCACAATTTGTTTGCAGACACTTATTCGATTTTGACAAAACTTGAAATACAGGTTTATCTCCAAAGGATCTCCATTCCTTTCGATATTGGAATGTATCAGATTGAAATTTCGTGGATTATGGCCTGCTTGTACCAAAAAAATACTGGACCACAATTACCTGGATTATGGCCCCTGAGGTCACAACTTTTATCCGATTTAAAAAAACGTTCAAATATATCACTGTTACACCATAATGATGATGGAGTTCAAATAACTTTATGGATTATGTCCCCTGATTGTACGAAATATTGCATTTTTTTTTTTTTAGCTGTTTTCTTTCCATCTTTTGCAAAATGTGGGGGTATCTTGCATGACAACCCCATGTTCACATTTTTCACAATTTCATAGTTCCACGGGTTCTTAATCATGAAAATTTTGTCTTTTTTTTCCATTGGCCATTAGGTCAAATACTAATCAATGAAATGAATTGGAGTTTAATGTCCTACTCGTCTGCTTTGACTGGGCTAATGAAGACGGGCCTAACCAATGAAAACTATCCATAAAATATCTGAATTTATGAGTAAGTCCTCAAGCCTTCAAATTAAGTTCATGTCCTCAAGGAAACAGTCAAAACAATACCGTGGAAGACAATATTATCATTTCCCGAACTTACGTTATATCAGGAACGTCCAGTCCTCTAGATGCAACATCAGTTGCTATCAATATCTTAACATAACTGTCTTTAAATTCTATTAAAGCTTGTTCTCTATCACACTGTTCTCTGAAAAACCGATCAAACAATTTTTATCCAGCTATTAAAATGAATTAAATGGTGCAAAATATTTGGAGACATAGTTATGTAAAATTCTAATTTTATGGCTTATATTGACTGACAGGCATATTATCTAGTTGGTTAATTTCAATTCCTGTCAGCCAGCATGGTAAAACTGGCTGAATCCAGAGCCCAATGGCACATCCATTTACTATTGCCTATATGCGCATTCCTGCTCTTATGATCACACTTGTGACTGAAAACTAATACTACAGAAATTACCTATCACCATGGATACACTGAACTTCAATACCATTCATTGCCATATCACTAGATAAATCATCTGCCCTGTAATAAATATTCATCAATATGTATAATGGCATACCATAGAAATGTTCTCTCTAATTACTAAATAAACTATTAACATACTTATAGAAAACAGCTACTGATTTATTTAGGCGACGTTTCGAAGAGTATTGTCTCAACATTTTCAAGCTAATACAATATAACGAAATTTGAGGCAACATATATAGACAAAATTACAATAACAAGGTTGAAGCCATTCATGGCAGCAACAAGATCAAACTTTGTTTTATTGTATTAACTTGAAAATGTTGAGAGAATACTCTTCGAAACATTGCCTAAATAAATTAGTAGCTGTTTTCCATAAGTATGTTTATAGTTTATTTATCAGTCCAGTTACTAAATGCCACTTAAAGAATACTCTAATTACTAGTTGTCAGTGTGTGCTAAAATCTTATTTTATGCAAATTCTATTCCTGTAACAATAATATGTTTACATATATTTGTACAAATGTAAACTAGATTGTTTTAAGATAATTTTGGTCACAGTCAACTGTCATGGGTTCTTTCATGTGAATGTCAATGTGTACACACGACCTTGGTTTCTCATCCCATCTGAACAACAAGACACGCTCTCTGTCCTGCACCACTGACCAGTGGAAATCATGTAGGAAAATACGCAGGAATTTTCTCGGCCAACTCCAGGATAAAACCCAAAACATCCTGATTAGAGAGAGAGAGAGAGAACTGGGGTTTAACGTCCACTCGACACAAACTAGGTCATTTCGGGACTAACATATGGTTTAATTTTATTTCAATAATTCTCTTGCACGTAGGGGTCTTTATCAGTGGGAGGAAACCCACAAGGTTGGACAGACGACCCTACTCCTTGTCATGTACAACCGGGGATTCAAAACCACGCCAGTTGACTCAATGACAGAACATATGATATAGCAGGCAGGTGCTAACCATTTGGCCATCCAACCCCCCTACTGATTAGTGAGCCAGCACCTAAATCACTGAGCCACCAGGTGGTGAATCATAATAGAAGTAGATCATTTTGAGACTAACATAGGGTTCAATTTTTATTTCATTAATTTGCTTGGGGGAAAACTGAGGACCTGGAGAAAACAAGTGAGGAATAGAAACAACACCACTTGACTCAAAGACAGACCTTATGATATAAAGCGGATGTGTTAAACCAATGAGACACCCAATCACCCTACCGTAGGTAGAGTGGTTCAATGGTCACTTATTTGTCCTTATATAAACATGCACAGGTATCTGCCTGACTGCATCATCGGGGATATTTTCTGAAGTGAGCAATGTTTAGTCCCCCGCACGTGATTTTGGAGGTCGCAGCAAATATACGTCACAAATAGCTTTCCACGTGGTATTATACAAACATGTATTGGTATATGAAGCCAAGTAAAAATACACTCATTACGCTCTTCGACTTTCGTGTTTATTTAATAGCGAATGTGAGCAAAAATTTTGATTACAACTCTTTGGTTTAATTTTTGATTTTGGGGTTTTTGGCGATTTCAGTACAGAGCTAGCTGTAATAGCTTCGTTTCATTTCTAACTTTTTAATCCATGAAAGTGGCAAGATAAACTCATTACAACATTTTGGGATTTTCTTTTATTTGGTCGTTACAACATTCGTTTACGTGGCGCTCTATTTACTTTAGGAAATAAATATTTGCTAGCTCTAAATACGCAGAACTATATGAGACCTGAAAATAACCGAATCAAACTTTTTAGTGGTAGTCTTTATTTTCCAGTAACTTGGTGTAAATTACTTTCATAATCATAGTATCTTATTTAATTATTCTGTAGCCATAAGCTTTGATCGACGGAATCGTTTTTTTCTAGATCTGAGACTGAGCCCTGCAAGATGACGTCCACCGATGATTTGCTATCCAGCATTGGACTGGGCAGGTACCCCTATGATTTGAGCACTGTAACCAAACTACCTATGGCAAAAATTTCAAATAGGCTTATACTAGGCTTTGTTAATAAATTCCCGACAACTACGGAGCATCGGTCTATCATAACTGCTTTACATGACGACTGTGTGACGTTTGGTGACAATTACATTAAAAATAGACTGGTCAGACTGAAGACAAAGACTAGGAAGCTGGGTAAAAGTAAGGCCAAGTCCAATAAATGTATGAAATCATATGACAATTTTCTTGACACCCCATTTTTACCCAGGATAGTGGACGAGACTCCATCGGCAGATACTAGTGAAATTAATTTAATAAATAGAGAGACTCAGACATCTGCCGATGCGACCTTGACTGATTTAAATAGGAAAAATAAGTATTTGTGGCGATTGTCAAAGTGTCATAAAAGCACAATCGCCCAGTTAAAAAATCGACTTCGGAAGACTAAAAAAGAAATGATTCGCATGAAGGCTAATAATGAAAATAAAAAACAATTTGCAGGTAAAAAAAAGTGGTTGCAAGTCCAAACCTTTTAGGAGGAACGGAGTAATTTTATATGATGTCGAAAATTAAAGATACACAGCAGAATGCCATAATTTGGTCATGGAACTTGAAAATCTAAACGTTTCGAATGTTAAAGTAGCAGCGGTTATTTATCTGTGGGACAAAAAATAAAGTGTTAAATTAATAGATTTATAGAGGTCTTTATCCCTCACTCTCCGTATAAAATGCCATTAAATTTTACTCGTACTTTATCCGACAATTTATTTTTCATAACAAATATCATACTGCCCAATATATTTATTTTATCTCTGGGATTAACATTAAAGTGTTATATTATTAGATTTATAGACGTCTCTCTCTCGCTCCGTCTGTATATAACATGCCATTATAAACAGACCCGGTGTCTGTGGGTATACAGAAATGAAAGCACTGTTCTTTTTAATACATATATTTGGCTAATCTTGAAACAATTCATGTCAAACGTCGATTGTTTCATATCCAGCTAAACGTGTATTTTAATTTTCACTGTAGCATTATTATAAACAGTTAATATTAAGACATGTGAAGGCGTGGATATATTGTTAAAACAACTAAGCGCTTGTGCATGCGTACACATGTTAAATTCAATCGTCTCATAGAGTGTGTTCCGTTACTTCGCAGCAAGGAAATAAACAATGTTTTCCGACTGCGATAATGAAATTTCGTTTCAGGGGCTTCCGTACCATTTTTACCGCGACCAAGGGACATAACTCATATTCTCACTAAGAGTTATCTGCCTTGATTATGGAAGTCGGGTAGATTTTGAGGCATTTATAACATATTTGCAAATGGTTATATCCTCAAAAATAAAATGTTGTCAGACTTCCATTGTTGATGAATGAAGTTTTTATGTTAAGTCTTATCATATAATGTTAAAATAATCCCGAAATAGTGTTAAAAAAATTGAGTATGAACCACTCTACCGTAGGTGTGAATATACTTACATAACTTTTTTGCCAACGAACACAATGGCTTTATCTGTTGGACCCATGGAAGAAATAAAATCAACAAGCTGAAAAACATAAAAATAATTCTGAAATTACACAGTGAACATTTTGTGGCCTTATCAAACATGGGCTTGTATCAGATTCAATTGATTTGTTCTTTATTGCATGTCTGTTTTGTATCGTATCCACGGGTTTGTCTTAATGTTTTTGTTTTTTTTATAAACAATATTTTTATTCAGTAAATCTGAATTTGGAATGGATAACAGGCTATGCCTATGTGTAACCCTTCTCCCTGGTTGCTGTTTGTTCATGTGTGGTGTGGTTCTCCGGCACTAACTGATAGTTAGAAATGAAATGAGGTTTAACGTCCTACTGTTCTGCTCTGACTGGGTTAATGAAGACAGGCATACCCCATCCAGTGTGCTGTGAGTGAAATTTTTCCTGGACAGTGGCACTACGACCTACTCTTATATCAAATTCCAACTGTCAAGGGTTCTTTGATGTGCACACCAATGTGTACACAGGGTCTCGGTTTTCACATTGTCCCTTGCCATACCCACTGTCCTGCACAGATGACAAGGGGGAACCATGCTGGAAAACCTGAGGAAGTTTCTCGGCCAACATCAGGATCAAAACACGAGACCTCCAGGTCAGCGAGCCAACATCTTATTACTCACTGAGCGATTGCGACTCCATGACTCCATGAACATTTACGACATATCAAAAGATCAGTGGACAAATCATGCAGCATCTGAAATCTGAATACAAAAGTATCTCCATTTGATGATGAATAATTCACTATATACTAACCATATCTTTTTTCTCTTCAGGTTCAACTAATTCACAAATCTGTGTTACACTATGACATGCCTAAAATTATAAATATTTTGACTTCAATTCCAATAGTATAAACACAGGTGAACCACAGTTTTTCGCATTATCCGTAGTAAGGATAGACGCCTTTTCCTTGCAAGGCACTCCCTCGCCCACCACTGATAAGGGGAAACCACAATGACAAATCCCGGGTAACTTTCTTCTCTAACAACACTGGGATTGAAGTCGCAACCTCCTGGAAAATGAGCCAGCGCCTTACCCACTAGGCCATGGTGGTTAACTGTTAAATAGCTGCTTTATTAATTTGGCTTTGAACTAGGAACTGGGGCCTAAGCGCTACCCATTTTGTTGTTTTTATTCTTCTTATTCTTGGGGGTGACACTTTGAAAAAAAAGCCTAAGGCCCTGTCAATTCAACTATGATTAATATGTAAGTTGGCAGACTTGTTCCTTGTACAATTGCACATTGACTAACAGACTTTCATTTTTTATATGACATCACAATTCCATGATGGTGGCTAGAACGCTATGATCTGTTCATGGTTCATAGTACACTCTTACTTGATTTATCCTGAAGCATTTTCTGTTTAAATGTATTTACAAAGTACTTACAGCCAGGTCAAGAGTTCCAACAAAAACTTGATATGGATCTTTCATATACATTTCAGCCAATCGTTGAACATTAGCTGGCCATGTAGCACTGTAAAATACATGCACAATTAAAATTCTGTATCAACCAGAGAGAGAGAGAAAGAGAGAGAGAGAGAGAGAGAGAGAAATGGGGTTTAATGTCCACTTGACACAAACTAGGTCATTTCGGGACTAACACATGGTTCAATTTTATTACAATAATTCGCTTGTCACGTACAACCTGGGAATCAAAACCATGGCAGATGACTCAATGACAGACCTTGTGATACAAGGCACACACACTACCCATTTGGCCATTCAACCCCCCACCCACCACCGCCAATGAAAACAAACTTCCAGTATATCATTGAGTTTACTTACAAAAGATCAAGTTTAATTTAATGTTACCTGGTCATAACAGTTTGTCTATCTTTGCGGATGTCTATTAATATCTTTCTGATCTCAGGTTCAAATCCCATATCTAACATTCGATCAGCCTCGTCCAAAACCTACAACAAAATAATCAGTTTATATTATATCTAACATTCGATCGGCCTCGTTCAATACATACAGTAAAATAATCAGCATATCGCCAGGTTCAAACAGTCCTTGCAAGACCATTAGATTATTACATTTTAATCAAATAAGAGAAAGTTTAACGCCCACTTGACACAAACTAGAACATTTCAGGACAAACATATGGTTTAATGTTATTTAAATAATTTGATTGTGCATAGGTGTCTTTGGCAGAGGGAGGAAACCGCAGTACCCAGAGAAAACCATAGACAGGCGACCTTACTCCATGTCATGTACACAATTGGGATTGAAACAACGCCACTTGACCCAATGACAAATCTGTGATTTAAAGTGCATGCGTTAGACCTCCGGTATATCGTTCTGCACACAAAGATCCATCAACTTTGAGAATAGATTTCTGCCCTAAATGGCCGCCATATTCAAAATTTAATATACTGTTTTGTAATACGTTTCTACTCCGTTCCACATCTGTCATACACACAAAGACTAAATGAATTTTTTCAATTTCATTCAATCGAAGCTGAATAAATACTTTAAAAAATTCTCAAAGTATACATAGTGTTTTCGTCGATTTAGGACTTAAAATGTCCGTTCACTAGCTTAGTGTCTGTTCTCAAGCAGAGCGAACTGTAGACAGGCAGCTTAAGTTTAGTATGCCGGTATATAAGAGAAAATTTGTACTTACTACCTATGTAATGCTTCTAACATCTATCACCCAACCGCTACATTAATTAGCATATAAGAAACAATTTGTACTTACTACATATGTAACACTTCTAACATCTATCACACTGTTCATAATTAGATCATTCAGACGGCCGGGTGTAGCTACGATAATCTCAACACCTTTAGTAACAACACCAATCTGATCTCTACGATTACCTCCTCCATATACACACACACTAAAAAATAACACTTTATATAACAAACATTGTAACTACAAAATAACACTTTATATAACAAACATTGTAACTACAAAATAACACTTTATAACATTGTCATACACACTACAAAATAACACTTTATATAACAAACAATTTCATACACACTAAAAGAGAAAGAGAAATGAGGTTTAACGTCCAATCGACACAAACTAGGTAATTTCGGGACTAACATATGGTTTAATTTTATTTCAAAAATTTGCTTGCGTGTAGGGGTCTTTAGCAGTGGGAGGAAACCGGAGGACCCGGAGAAAACCCACAAGGTTGAACAGGAGACCCTACTCCCTGTCATGTACAACCAGGGTATCGAAACCACAACAGTTGACTATGACAGACCCTATGATACAACAAGCACATGCTAATCATACACACTACAAAAAAACACTCTATATACCAAACATTGCAAAATGTCTCTTTGAGACTAACATGGTAATTATAATGCATGAATTTTGTAGGGCGCACAGAATTTCTGTATACTTTTCTTTGAATTCCTTCTGCAAAGGGATAGTTTACGTCCATGTCATTTTGTTCAATTTGATAATGTGTTACTGTCACCCCAAACATGTGAAGGTTGGTCTTAAAAATTCTTAAGGTTCTTCTCACCCCATGCTGGGGTTTGAACCCTGAACAATCTAGTCCAGATTCCAATTTCATAACAGCTCCTCCGGTCCCGTTTTATATAAATTAAAGAAATTCAGACTTGTAAAAAATATAAACCATACCATTTAAACCCCATGTAAGAAATATAGACTGTACCTTTTAATTCCCTTATAATTAATCTTTTTAACTTCTGTTTCTATCTGTAAAGCCAGCTCACGTGTTGGGGCCATAATTAAAACATTTGGTCCACCTCTCTCATCTCTTGGTCTGTCAAAACAAAAACATATTGTACTTATTGTCAATCTTCAATTTAATCTGGTAATACTCTAATAACCAAACACGCTAATGCTTATGGATATATTCAATGAAGTGTGGTAAGAGTTATATTTTGCCCTGACTGTGGCACTACGCACTATTATTTAAATTTACGACTGTTACATACATGAAAGTATGGTCCGATATATGCCAACAATGGAAGGAACCCAGATCTTTGGGATATAAACCTTTATTTCAATTTCTGTTAAAATCATATAAAAATTGTAACCTGTAGAGTTTCCACAAACAAAATGTGTACGGACACATGGGCTCAGTGATGGACAGGGGCGCTACATAATACAACCACATGAAAATGTGGGCGTATAAAAAACCAAAATAACTGACAATAACAAGAATGGTAAAGTTTAAAATGAAATTCCTTTTAATATTAATCTTATAATCCAACTTACAAAGGTTGACCGTCTATATGTAACATGGCTGGTAAGAGAAAGGCTAGAGTCTTGCCTGTTCCGGTCTACAAAATAAAAGACAATGAAACTTTATTATCCAAGATTGCTTTGATGTTGCCACCCTTAAAATTTAACATCATCACTGTGATTTTATAAACTAAAGATCAAGAATTTTTATATTTAAATGGATAGATATAAACAGAAACAATTATATTTAAGCATGACATTATACTCACTAAGTGGTGTTCCACAAGGCTCAATGCAAGATCTAATTATTATTTTTTTTTTATGTTATATATAATCAATCATACATTTGTCTATGATATCAATCCCATTAATGAACAAAATCAATCTGCCATTTTATCATTTACAAATCTTAAAGTGGAATTGTCAATCTGAATACACCTGGGCTCTGTTTCTCGAAATCTTAACCAAAGATAAAATACAATTTTAGTAGATACTTAAATTTTGATTGGCTAAGCACTAAAATCAATCTAATATTATCCAATTAAATTACTAAAATTTAGATTTTATCTTAGTTAAAATTTTGTGAAACAGGCCCCTGGTCATTTACAGTTTCACATAAAATTTAGTTTTAATATAAGCTATTTTACCTGTGCTATACCTATCAGATCCAAACCTTGTAATAATATAGGCCACGCCTGACACTGAAAAACAGATTAACGTAAGTTATAAATTACAGAACAATAAATTGTGTGTATACCTCACGATTTCTTAAAAGTTGTTGATTGTCTGTGGCATTTTACGGAGAATATAAAATATTCCACGACTGAATCCACGCTAATGTGTACTCAAATTGATTATCTAACATTCAATTTTGAAACAAAATTAAAATCAAATTAAAAAGAGGCCAATCAAAATATTGCAGGGAAGATAACATTTACCGGTGGCTTTTAACTAAATCCCGTTATTATTGTCAGCAGAATGTACACAATTTTTTTTGAATCATCATATATTTATAAATATTGAACAGAACTTAACAATTATTGTACTGATATACTTTTAGAGATTCACAAGGTTAGACTCAACGAACTTCATTAAATCACCCAAAGAACGTCTACTGTATAAAAAATAAATACAATTGATAGTTTACCTGGATGGGGGATGGTTTAACAAAACCCTGTTTTTCAATTTGTTCTAATACTTGGGCTAAAAAAATCAAAGAAATCTGTGCCTGGGATGATAGCATAACATATACATACTTGTAATATCTATGACTTTGATTAAACACTGAATCAATTTTTTGGATGATCAAAGCTATACAAACATTACGTTTCATGTCTACAATTTGGTTGACCAACAATGTTATTCCTAAATCAAAGATTTTAGTCGAAAACACTAACTATGTGTTCATAAATTTGAGAAGAATTTACTTAGTCTGTGTGTGTATGAAAAATGTAAAACAGGTTTGAACCTCGTTCACAAATAGTATACTAATTTTTTGATATGGAGGCCATTCAGGGCAGGGATCTATTCTCTGTGTGCAGAATGATGATTTAATGGAACAGTAAGAGAAAATTAATTTGATTGGTTGATTGAACTGGAGTGGACCAATCACCATCTGCTCCTTACTGAACACACCCTGCACAGACCGACCTTCTGGTGAGAGAAATGCGGTTCGACATCCACTCGACACAATATGTCATTTTTGGACTAACATGATTCAATCGTTCTCGAGAAGAATACATGTCGACGTGTACTGGTTTTAAAATTGTTCACTTTGTCATAAATATTGGATATCAGGAGTCCATGTTTTCATGGTAAAATAACAACATAACTATTGATTGGAATGGACCAATAATTCATGTTTGTAATATCAAGGTGAACAGTTGACGAACATATCAACTCAACAGCTTTTCTTGAATAACAAATTGGCTGATATTAAGATATACTTACGATAATGCTGAAAAGCTTGTTCAAATGTTTCCACTGGGTTAGGTACACGGTTTGGACCATCAGCGATTATATTATTATTTTCTTTCCTGTAAAAAAACAAAACATTTTAATATTTAACATAATCTTTGTTGGAACAACATGAATCACACAATTATATTATAGACTGACTTCTGTTTGGTTTTTTTGACCAGGAACTGGACGCCAAGCTCTACTCATCTTATTGTTCTTCTTCTTATGGGTGATGCTCTTTCAAAAAAACTAAGGCTCCACTAATTTAAGTATGATCGACATGATTGACAAGACATTGATTTTTTTTTACCTGATTCTTCTAACATCTTCAGGATACATATTGGTTACTTCAACATGTTCAAAATAAAAATTCTTCTTTAGTTCTGGCAAACCTGAAACAAAATCAACATAGTATGGTATATAAGGCAACACAAATAAAATAAGTTGTTTCTCGGGCACCGCCCGCACGCAAAATTGGTTGCGCGTGCGGCCTATTTATTAGTCTTGATGAAAAATAAAAAATATGTAACGCCCGCCCGAACATCGATAAGCAAGTCATAAAAAAAATATGCCGCATGTATCAACATGCCCCATACGTGAATATCCATTCAAATGTATTAAACTGATTCAGATGTAAACGCTCATTTACGGGTCTTTTTTTATTGATATCGAAAGAACCTCCATTTTTGTATCACGTGATTTTAATTACCTCCCCTTGTGAACTAGAATTTGATTCGTGTTAAACATCGAAAGTCATTGACAACAATGCAATGTATTTCAATCATTCGATCTTAATCGGCTCATTATTGCCGGCTTCAGTCGGTCCATGTTTGAAAAAATCCTACTTATAAAACAATGAATGGTAGAACAGGTTAATTATTATAACTTGTGGCTACGAATACGATACGATGATAGTCACCATACCTTAGTCAGAATCTGGGTCATTAGCACATTTAACGGTAGTTTTGATAATCCGGAAAATAATAATTGGATTACACATTTGATGGTTTTACTGACGAGTTGTTAGTTAAATTTAAATAGTCATTCGATATAAACCCCAGATAGAACACCGAATATCCTGAGAAACACACTGAATAACCTGAGAAACAGTCATATCCCGATGACACGTGACATTGGTTGGAATTAGGTCAATCATTATAAACCAGCGATACTAGATTTAGATCGCAGTGTGGTTTACCGTGATGATTATTTTTGATACACATGCTGACAGAGGTTTACTCTTTAAAATATTGTCGTTATTATGGACGGCTATTAATAGTCGTACGGAATTTTATTTTAAACCAATTTCAATTATGGTTGTCACCATTACCATTAGTAAGCTACATTACGTGAATTAAATATGGAAAATTATTTTCCTTTCAGTCAGTGTTCAGTGTTTGAGTAGACTTGATTTTTGGGTTTATGTTCTAAGTATGTATAATATATAATTGAAAGCAAAACCGTAGACAAGTAATGACTTTCTCATTAAAAAAAAAAAAAAAAAAAAATACAAGGCCGCCCTCCCGCCCAAACAATTTTCAACAATAGGCAAATTTTATTTTGCACCATCCTCTAGCCATAAATGAGATAAAAAAAAAAATAAACCGCCCTCCCCCCCTACAGTTTCAGCTGTCAGTTGCCCGAGAAACAAGACATTTATTTTGTGTAGCCTAATATGCCAAAATTTAAATATGGGTTGAATCTATTCACCTTTGATAGTCAGGTACCATTGCGCCTCAGTGATTAAGACACTGGCACAATCACCTAGAGGTCCAAACTTTGATCATGGTGTTGCCTGAGAAATGCAGCTGATGAGCAAAGTTTCCCTCATAGCACACTACACCTGAGTTATGTAAATACCTGTGAACTATTTAAGGACTGTATTCTCATTATGTGACTCAGGTGGTTTGAGGTGGTCCAGGGGTAATGGTTTCTACTGGATTTGGAAAAAAGCTACAAAACTCAATGTAAAAAAACATCACTTTCCTCTACCTCTATATATATGCTGATTACACTATTTTGCCTATACCGTTTTTTTTAGGACTTCGAATTTTGTCTAATGGTTTGGATTGTTCGTACTTGGTTTTATTTTATTTTTATCAAGGAACAGATGTAGTCCATAGTTACATGAAATATATATCATGAAATTTGATCATGTTTCCATTGGAAATGAAACGAAATGGGGTTTAACGTCTTACTTTTCTGCACCGACTGGGCTAATGAAAATGGGCATCATCATCGTGTGCTATGAGTGAAATTTTGCCTGTACAGCGGGGTGCTACAGCCTATTCTTATTTCGATTTCCAACTAACAAGGGATCTTTTATGTGAACGACAATGTGTACATGGGACCTAAACTGTTCCTTGCAAGATCTGCATCACTGTTTACAATGAACCATGGATGCATCACACTAGTTGAAACCAGGTCTAAAATCGAGTCTTGATCGGTTCAATTAACAAAAGCTCAGACTAATTTGGGAAAAGATAGTAATTTATTTTACCTGCAAATTTTTCTGCCTCAAATTTATCAGATTCTTCTCGGATGATACTCCAGTTAATTTTTCTGGTCGGAGCAGCAGGTGGAGGTTCATCAGCTGCAGCTTTCAACTTAGCTTCTATACAATAGATAGCAATAGTTTGTCTTAATTTCCAGAGATATCCAACAATTTTTCAAATGACATGTACATTTAAATTGTCATAGCCGATTGTTGGGATCGAAACTACGTCACTTGACTCAATGACAAACCTTATAGTCTAAAACACAAGCATTAAGACAACTCGACCATCCAACTACAAGAAACTAGGAAACTCTCTTCTGTTCAAATTAAGAAGGCTTTGTTTCCCTGATGGCTAATTTCTTATTGTACTTTTACTAATGTTTAATGTGTTCATGCTATAAATTGAGTTGGGGGGACGGAGTAGTGGGGTAAGAACTTTACACATCCTAAATTGTGGAATGGGTTTTATCATCTAGTCAACACAATACTTTTGAGGCTAACATATGTTGTTTTTTCTTTCATTTCAGTGGTTGCATTATGAGGAGAGTATTTTGTTAAGACATTGATTTCCACCTACATGGCATCTAATTGCATTGTAAGTCAAATTCACATCCCAAAAAAAACACATTTTAACTATTATAAGTCAAATTCACATTCCAATACAAATAGACCAAAAGTCAACATTAAATTGGTAAAATGCCATGAAAAATCAAACACATCATTTACCTTGGTTTTTACCCCATATAAAGGCTCCAGATGTATTCTTCTTAGTATAAAAATCATTACGACCTAAAACACACAAAAAAAAGTAACAAAATATTTTACAATGTAATGTGAAAGTCCCCAAACAAACACATAATAATAAAACACAATTTATATGGAAAACAATCACTGAGTTTATTTCACACTACGTTTCAACAAGTTCCTCTTGTCGTTCTCAAGTAAATAACGTAGTGTTGAAAAGTAGTGTGAAATAAACTTAGTGATTGTTTTCCATATAAATTGTGTTTTATTATTATATATTCAATTACTAAATGCCGTATAAGGATTTCACATAAACACAAAATGGATAAAATTCGAGAAATTTCTAATAAGCAAAAGGCTCAATAGGTTGTTGATGTGTGCAAAGTTTCATAATAAAGATACCTTGAAAAGTTTATGGGATATGCTCCTGAAAAAAAACTAGGATGAAAGTATGGACCGACAGACAGGAACCATTACAATATTTTTCCTTTAACTTTGTTCAATGTGGTATAATTAACGAAACATTTTTGGATGTACATGTAAAGTAAGTGAGATTAGTCATGGCATAACCACATTTCAGTAGTTTGGACCACAAAGATGTGAGTTATTAAGGGACTGCAATTATCTACACAAACCACCCACATTTTCCGCATGTCCGATGAGGTCCATTACTTTTGCTAATGTAAATTATTAAAGTACCGTAATTATCTAAACAAACCACGCAGAATTTCCACAGGTCTTATATGATGACCGTTACTTTCTTAAATGTGAATTACTAAGGTACCGTAATTGGAAGACATGACCTCTTCAACCATTTCTTTAGCTTTAATTCTCACATCTTCTTCACCAGAGATGACAACTTTTGCTTCTCCTTCTCTATCACTGTTCCGTGTATCAACCTGTAATCAAATGAACAATAAGTTGGAGGAGTAAAAAATTTGAACTCAGTGCTTTGTGGCAGCCTTAAAGTAGCTAAGTCTCTAACTCAATATCATCCAAAGTCTTTCACACTGAAAGCACAAATTATTTGTCAATTTAAATCAATATTGATTTTGTGATCTTGCCGGGAAAAGATCGGTTTCTGATATCCAATATTTAAGACAAAACAAACATTTTACCATTGGTAAACAAATCATGTACCATAATGCATTTCAACGCCATTTGTAACAAGGGACAAGAAAGAATGAGCCTCAACATTCCTCAAATCATGTCGAATGGTTACGCAATATTCGCATCTGGAGAGCATGCGCAATAGACTGGAATAATCAGATGCTAGAGATTGCCACTCAATTGAGTCTTCTGGTGTATCTTACCAAACATTACTGATTTGAAATTAAGAGTAAAAATGGAAACGATTGAATGTAGGTCAGTTTTAGACCTTCAGATTACATTATTATATACATCGCAACCCATATCTTGTCAATACCTAGGTCCCAAATATTAGTGATTTAGCTCCTTTAAAATCTCTGATTGTCAGTTTCAAACACTTGTACTGAACAACTGAGTGCTTTGTGGCAGACTTAAAGTCTCTGATAATCGTTCATAAATCCTTGTAAACTACAATATGTGGAATCGTTGAATACTTACTTTTATTCTGGCTCCACTACTTTCTTCTAATTCTCTTATCTTTGATCCTCCTTTACCTTAAAAACATGAAATACAACAGGAATTATAATACATCTCATATTTATTCCTTTCGCACTTGACCTCAATTCCTTTAAGACAATTAGAGAGAGAGAAATGGAGTTAAATGTCCACTCAACACAAACTAGGTCATTTTGGGACTAAAATATGGCTCAATTTTACTTCAATAATTCACTTGTGCGTAGTGTTTTGTAGCAGTGGGGCGAAACCAGAAAACCCACAAGGTTGGACAGGCAACCCTTCTCCTTGTCACGTACAACCAGGGAAGTTTAAGACAATTAGAGACAAGTTATGTATTAATAAAGGTTTGCCTAGCCTACCTATTATTTTTCCCACTTTATCTTCTGGGACATAAATTGTCATTGATTCTCCTGATGGTCTGTCAAATCTTCCTCGGTCATTTTCAGTTCTGCTAGGTCTCGAATTTCCGAAACCTTCACTTCTGCCACCACTACTACCAAAACCTTCACTCCTGCCACCTCCACCACCAAAACCATCACTTCTGCCACTGCTGTTACCAAAACTTTCATTTCTGCCACTGCTGTCTCCAACACCCCCATCAGCATCATCCCAGAAGCCACCATCATTTGCTTCAAAACCACCTCCAAATGACCTTCCATCTGAGTTCCCTGAAAAGAATCAGGAGGACTATTAAAACATCAAATAGGGGACAAGATTCTCGTTCTAGTTCAGAACTTGACTCACCACAAATGGATTTCCATTTGTCAGGTGATCTTTATAACTGCCATTGATGTACACGCTGATCCTTGACAGGTCCCTTGTCCAGCTGCAGCACTGATATGGGGAAACCTACTTTTACATGCACGCCTATGTACACTAGACCTCAGGTTTCTGTCCAATCCGAACGACTAGACTTGTCAGGCCCTACACCACTGACAAGGTGGAAATCACACCGGAAAATACCGGTGAACTTTTTCAAACCATAGACGTATATATGACTATGTCTTCTGTTAGTTACAGTTGACCACCCCATGCTTAAATTTTCAGGCTTGACGAGTTCTAATTGTTTATTGCTCAGTTTGAGAGTAAATTGAAAATCTCTCATTTATGAAGTGGAGAGATACCGAACTGGGGTTTAAAGACCACTCTACCCAAACTAGGTCATTTTTGTGACTAACACATGGTACAATCTTCTTTTAGGTATTTTATTAACAATGGAAGGAAACTCCTAGGCACTAGAGAAAACCCACAAGTTTGGGCAGGCGACCCGATTCCTGGTCAGGTACAAACTTGGGACTGAAAAACTCATCACTTGACTCAAAGATAGACCTTATGATCTACAGGTACATGCCCACGCAACCAACAGCCATATAAAGAAAAGTTATTTAAAGAAAAAAAATTGTAACTTCAACATCAAATTGTCAAATGAATATGATTACAATTTTAATGTGGAATGGTTTTGTACCGAAATTTGGCGATGTGATTTGTTCTATCATTTCCTTCGCTTTCATTCGAACATCTTCATCTCCAGATATATCTACTTTAGCTTCACCTTCTCGATCACTGTTTCTGGAATCAACCTATAATATACAATCATAAACCATAAAATGGGGTTTACTGTTCTAATGAGCTAATGAGGACGGGAGAAGGAGTCGTACCCCAGTGGAGTAGTAAACGGATAATCATTACCAAACTGTCTCATAATCGGTTTAAAGGACAATATTGGTGCCAGTCATTATCACATGTGATAGAGCTGGTTAAACACATTCCAAATATAATTTTAACAGAGATCATTGCTACGATAGCTGAGTAATACAGGTTTCCTGAATCGGAAGTGACGAACGCCAAAGGAAAACATGTGTCACCGCTCTATATAACTGACTGATGTGACGAGTGATAACAGATACACGGCCGAATTTCTGCTCACTAATAATTCCTTCGAAGACCAAAAGTTGTTATATGGGACTGTGAGAGGATATCTGACAATTCAATAAAGTAATTGAATGTCATTAGATAAGAGAACACGAGAAAAATAGAAATATTCTGTACATTCCCTTGTTTATATTCATTCTATACCTTATAAAAACATGGTAATGCACAGACTTTTTCTGTTTTTCTTTCGTGTTCTCTTATCTAGTGGCAGTCAATTCTTTTTACGAATTGTCAGATATCCTCTCACAGTCTCACACAACAACTTTTGGTCTTGGAAGGAATTATTAGTGAGCAGAAATTCGCCCATGTACATGTATTTGTTATCACTCGTCACTTCAGTCAGTTATATAGAGGGATGACTCGTGTTTTCCTTTGGCGTTCGTCACTGTCGATTCAGGAACCTGTATTACTCAGCTATCGTAGCAATGATCTCTGCGTTAAAATTATATTTGGAACGTGTTTAATTAGTTCTATCACATATGTGATAATGACTGACACGTCTGACACCAATATTGTCCTTTAAGGCAGGCCCTACTCAAGTTTCAGAAGTCAACCATCATCTCTGTTTCTACATCTGCCCGACTCAACCATTCCCCTACGTACATAGTCTACCTCTTATAAGCTCGTAACTAAGGATGTAAATGGTCACTCGGTTAACCGGTCACGGTTCGGTTGCACTGTTAAACCGGTTCAAAAAATTACTAATCGGTATTAGTTTTCATATGATACCTGACCTTCAAACCCAGGAATGATAGCCACAACATTGTTTTCTTTCACTAAGACCTCATAAATATTTCAAATAGCACTTGTCATTTGTAATAAGTCTCGGGAAGTTGACGTCTTTAAAATCCCACTCAAAGTTTTGACATTTGTGCACGTTATTTATAGCACCCGCTGCCAAGCATTAAATAGCCTCAACTGATTGACAAATTAATTGTTTTACAGTATTAACCTCATCACTCCACCAAGTCTCAAAATGAAACAAGTATGATGTGATGAATTAATATTAAAATAGAGAGGTTATCATAGGAAAATTGTTTATATTATCACTCAAGTGCATGATGCTGTGGCTGTGGGGTCAAAGTTGACATACGGGTCACTGGTACCATAGTATACAGCATAGCTTGTGATAGAAAAACGTGTAGTAAATTCTTTGGAATTAGCTGATGCTGAATAATCAACCTTTTTTTTTATTTAAAAATCCAAAGGTATGATTTCAAATACTGATTTCATAGCTAATCTTATGAAGTATTAGTGGAATTTTTTTAAAAAAAAAAATCAAATGATTTCAATTCAATGAAACATAAAGAATGAATGAATGAATGGAATTTGTACTGACTGTTAAGTTAAAAGTTGTAATACTAATAATTTAAAAATATATTATTAAGTCTTATTTTAGTGCAACAAATATTTTGATAGAAAATTTTTATGAGTTAACCGGTTACGGTTGGGTTTTTAACAACCATTTAACGAGTTCAAGAATTTTTGAACCGTTACATCCTTACTTGTAACCATCATCTGTTTCTACGTCTGACTGATTCAAACCCTATAGTCTACCTCTTCTATAAATTCCTTGTAAAAGAAGCCCTGACAGATGGAATTTGAAATAAGAATAAGCCGTAGCCCCACTTTCCTGGCAAATTTTCCTCATACACTGTAGCAGACTGCATGGTGTATGCCCGTTATTACCCCATTCGGTGCCAAAAAGTAGGATGTTAAAACCCATTTCATTTTTTATAAATTCCATCCAGTTGCCTTGCAAACATTTCTGACGGAACATAAAACAGGGTGTATTGAGGTATATTAGTCCACACCTATATCACTAGATTCTCTAAGCAAGGAAACCTGACCGCCAAGCCTGGATATAAGGCACCTGTCACAGACAATGTCAGGCACAGATTCAGGCTTTGTCAGGCACAAAACCTCTGGTGCCTGTCATTTTGTCCGGCACTGATTTGTCTTTTTTATTGATATTATTAATACTTGTCCGACACTAAGTTGAAAATGTCAGGTGCCTGACATTTTGTCAGGTAGGCCTACATCTAAAACCGTTACTTCCATGACTGCTGAACGCAAACTCTGCCAGACTTTTTGGCAGAAGAAATATTCATGAAATGAAAGGCGTCAACTGATTTGTAACCAACAGAAGTCATTACATTTCTTATAATTGTTAGAAGTCCAGGAAGCTGTTTTACAATATATGTAAATATCATTTGAGCATGTAAATCGTACATACCAATATACATTTTTGTGAAATAAGGACGGTGCCATGAGAGAAATTTTGCACAAACAGTGGCGTTTCCACCTACTGTCAAGGGTTCTTTATGTGCATGTATTTTTACGTCGATATGAACGACCAGATGAGATACCGTTGCTTGTCAAGTCCTCAGTCTTGTCCCAGACCAACTTTCTTGATCAACACCTTTGATTTGTGAAACAGGACCTAATGGATATATTGACTGTATTGATATTTACAGTTCATTGTGATAGTCTTACCTTTATTCTGGCACCAGTACTTTCTTCCAGTTCACGTATCTTTGATCCTCCTTTGCCTGAAACAAGAAATAAACATAGGTTGCCAGGCAATGAAACGATTGGGGTTTAATGTCCCACTTGGACTGGGCTAATGAAGATGAGCATATATACATGTACACCAATTATCATAAAAGTTCTGAGGGAAATTTTGCCCAGGCAATGTGCTACAGCCTACTCTTGTATAGAATGATCATTAATAATGCCTTTTTCGGTGCCAACAGGATTTTGAACAAAGTGGAATAATTCTTCATCAGAATTCTAATTCTCAAAGCAAAGCTTCTTTTACGTGCATGCCAATGCAGGATATGGCTTTTGTCCCATCTGAATGACTAAATACTGTTCATTGCCAGGTTGTGTACCTATTACTTTTCCCACTTTGTCCTGTGGAACATAAATTGTCATTGTTTCTCCCTGTGGCTGTGGCCTGTCAAATCTGGCACTTTCACTTTTAATTCTGCCAGTGTCATCAAAATCATTCCCAAATGACCGTCTGTTTACGTCATCATTTCTTCTGTCAAACCCTCCATCATTATGTTCACGCCAAGAACTATTATTGTTGGTATTTTGATTTCTTTTGGGCCTGCGTTGTTCAAAAGAATTTTCATTGCCGCCTCTGCCATCTCCCGAATCCCAGTCGCTGTTTTTCTCCGTGAAAACACCCCTTCCCCTCGAGGAGAATCCCCCTCTGCCTCTCCTAAACTCCATTCAGCAATGTCATATATGTCAACAATTGAAAATAATTTCCAGCAATGAACACTGCAGAAACCACATGCATGCGGTTGTCAGACCGCGATAAAATTAAAAATATAAAATAAGGGGGGTTCTGGTATCATGGGAGATAACTCTCATTAACACTGAACTTAAAAATGGCGGACACAAGCGAAGCTTTGCAGTGGAATGTTGAAATGGAAGTCAGTTTATTCCATGCCATGCGTGGCCATAAACCAGTTGGTGAGTTTTTCTGGTGCCTAAATGATTCCTCTTGTTAAATCAAAAATCACTTTTAATTGCAATGAAATATAGTAAACTAAATAGGAGTATAAACTCATAAAATAAATATATTTTGGTTTGCCTTATGACTCAATTATCCAGTCTCTCTGTTTGCGGTCTGCTTTTTAAACAGCCAGTTAACTCGTCCACAAGCGAACTCGCCCACACGAAAAGCCCAGTTAAGTCGCCCACAATCAAAACTCGTTGACATGACAAGGAGAAGGGTTGTCTGTCCAACTGCATGGGTTTTCTCCGGGTGCTACGGTTTCCTCACACTGCTATATTCGAGCTAATTATCGAACTAGAATTGAACCGTATGTTAGTCCCGAAATGACCTAGGCCTAGTTTGTGTCGACTGATTCAACATTACCCCCCCTCCCCCCGCAAATTGATTTTGCTTAATTGTTCATAATTCCCCACTATATTTTAACTAAACCATTTATAGACAAATGCCATACTTTTTACTATTTCAGGCGTAAATCGCCATTTTCAGATGATCTACATCCATAGTAAGATGAATGAATCGTCAACGAAGAAGATTTCTTCCGACCAGATATGGAAACAGTTATCAACATTATATCAACTCCAGGCACTTGTAAGTACATGTAGGCCCATAGACAACAATTATTTTCTTTAATTGATCAGTTTGATTGAAGATTAAGACAAGACATAAAATAAAATTTCTATTGATGCTGTGAAATCTTGCCACCATCTTCATGAATCTGGGTTCTAAACCCATACCCATCCTCATTATCCGGGTTGGTGGACGACCCTTATTCCTTTATTCATTTATTCATTCATTCATTGTAAACCCATTCTCTATTAGTGAAATAAAGTCATCATTATTCAGGGCTTTTGGAATTAGGCATTCAGTAATGCTTTGACTTGTAGCCTACCTGACAAAGTAACAGACATTTCTAATGTTGTGTCTGAAATATACATGTACATGTGTTCAGTGGTGCAGCACAGAGGGCCTGACTAGGAACAGTGTCAGTGTGTTGTTGCAACAATATCCCTCATAGGATGATACTGCACGGTGTATATCTGCCTTCGATAGCTCTGACTGTGCAGAAAAGTTGGACTTTAATAAACTCCATTTCATTTCTATTTTTTAAAATCATTTTGTAAAATAAATTTTAAATGATCCTCCTGTGAGTTGACGTCACCACCATTGTATTCAAGGCGCCACACAATTATTGGGAGTAACATTTGAAAAAGGGTTGTGAGACCTGAAACGTTATGATTTGAATTACTACTCTTAGTTAGGATTAATCCATGGTCTATGTTTTATTTCAGAATGAATCAGAAATTTTACCTTTTCCCAACAAAGAAACAGATTTTATACTTCCAGACAGCGACTATAAAGATCTGAAACAGAAGTTTGAGTCTCCACGTTTGTCGCTGGTTGAAAGTTCGGATATACGAGATCATAAAGATCATCACAAAGATCACAAAGATGTCAAACATGAAAAAACAGATAAAATGGCTGAAGGTGAAGTTGTTTATAACAATTGGGTTAAAGACTTGATGTATCATTTGCATTTTCGCTAAAATATTAAAATTTATCATGTCTTAATCCATGCCAAATATGTACTCAGATTGATTATTGAACATTTAAGAAAACAAAATCAAAATACATGGGTTACTATTTTAGGTTTAATATCAATTTGAGTTAATTAATTATATGTTAAATAACAATTTGTGTAACTGTTCAGAATAGATATTTGTAAGGAGTTTTTCAAATTCCAGTTCCCTATTAAAGATAACTCTTTGAAGTTTGACTTGGGGAAATGTGGGTTGTCTTTTATATGGGACAAAAGACAAATAAACTTTAGTAAAATTAGACCATTTTTGGTTCCATCTTTAATCTTGGTTGTAATACCTGGCATGCTTCTTTATCAATTCTCTGTTCTGTTTGAAGTCTTGCTTCAGGTATTAAAATTGCAAACTTTAATAGTATGGTTCAATAAAAGAGTTACCTCCCCTTTTTTGTCTCTCCTGCCCAAATGTCAACTCTACTACCATTCTGAAAACTGAGCACTGCCTTCCTTTTTCATATAAAATACTTAAAGGGGAAGACCAACGATTTTCAATAAGGTTTCCATAAATAATAAATATATATTTAGAAATAATCCCTCCTATAACATATGCAAAAAATAATTTGTAAGCGAGAAATTAATTTTTATTAATACCGGAAGTGACGTAGTTGGTTCGACACGCTCACTGGTCACTGTAGTAAACATACAAATTTGGAGTAAGTTTAGCGCTGTATTTTGTGATCGTTTCGCCGTTTGGCAGAAAATCTGATGAAAGGTAATCTTTATTAGGATATTAAGAACAAGAACTTACGGTGTTTTGAAGGTATAATATACAACGCGTTTGTGTAAATTAAGCTTCTAAACTGGACACTGTGACACAATTTAAGCCACATGGCTAATTGTTTACATCACGTGATAGCTGGCACGTGACAGATATTAACCGAACACAAATTGGCGACCTATTCGGCTAGCGACCTATTCGACCGATCCAGCTGGCAACCTGTTCGTTGGCAACCTATTCAGAATAAATTCAACAGTCGCCCAAACTCATCTATTTTTATCAACCAATAAAATCCAACGTAACGTCTATCAAATGAAAGTAGAATATATTATCATTTATCCATTCCTTTAGTTCAGAATAGAGATGTAATTTCGCATTATCTTACAAAATTCTGGACATCCAACTAAATATATCCCGAAAGCTGATTAAATAAGCTTTCGAAATATTATTAGTAAAAGTTGGCACAATCATATTAAAGGGGTGCGCTCTCATTCTGAATAGGTTGCCAACGAACAGGTTGCCAGCTGGATCGGTCGAATAGGTCGCTAGCCGAATAGGTCGCCAATTTGTGTTCGGTTAATATCTGTCACGTGCCAGCTATCACGTGATGTAAACAATTAGCCATGTGGCTTAAATTGTGTCACAGTGTCCAGTTTAGAAACTTAATTTACACAAACGCGTTGTATATTATACCTTCAAAACACCGTAAGTTCTTGTTCTTAATATCCTAATAAAGATTACCTTTCATCAGATTTTCTGCCAAACGGCGAAACGATCACAAAATACAGCGCTAAACTTGCTCCAAATTTGTATGTTTACTATAGTGACCAGTGAGCGTATCGAACCAACTACGTCACTTCCGGTATTAATAAAAATTAATTTCTCGCTTGCAAATTATTTTTTGCATATGTTATAGGAGGGATTATTTCTAAATATATATTTATTATTTATGGAAACCTTATACTAAATACAGCTTGTAATAGTTTCACAGTGTACCTCCATTGTAATTGTGTCGACTTGTGTCTGTGGTAGAGCTAGCAGCCAGCATTGTATGTTTCGTACATAAAAGGCTACTGAAGTGATTTAATTTTTTAAAACTTAAAGTAATAATGTATGTCCAAGTAGTGATTTCAGGTACTGACTACACTGTACTTGACTTAACATTGTGTCGAACATCTATTAAAAATAAAAATAAAAACACAGAAATATATCAAGAAATAAACAAATGATAGGCACCAGTTGAAGTTTGTGTCTGACATTGTCAGTGACAGGTGTTTAATTTCCAGCCCTGGCTCAGCCTCTGGGACTGAAATATTTTAAGAATGCAACCTTTTCATTGGCCAGGTGCTAAAATTTGGGCTGTGATTTTAGTGCTCAGCCAATGAAAACATTGCATTCTTAAAATACTTTATTTTTAGTATTTATGAATAAGTCCCCCTTATTAGTATGGATTGATTCCTTTTTTTTAGAACCTTTAATTAAACATGCATTATGCAAGAGCTAAATCTACCTATTTAGGCGTGAAATGTTATTTAAATTATTAATTAGACATTAATTAACTTATCAAGACCATAATCAACTCAACTTTCAATGCCTTCGTTAGCCTGCGATAATTAGTGTAATTGAATTCATTTTGCGATCGATAATTTAATTTAAAAATGGATAATCTAGACTTTGTTTATTATCGATAATATCTCGGTTCAGTGTGAAGCAATTTGACTGAAATTTCCAGCATATTCTGTTTTTATGTTTTATTTTTTAACTATTATATCATGAACTATTAGCTCTTTTATCTAATTTTATCTAATGCCCCTTTAATTTTATATTTTTATTACAGTTCACAGTAAAGGTGGTAAATCAGGCAGTCACAAAATGGAGAACAAGGGGACTCCCACAGTACAATCCAGCAAGGAAGGGAAAGGATCCCATTCACATCATAATAAAAGTGACTCAAAATCACATCTGACTCCTCAGAGCACGAAAGATAAATTAAAAGAACATTTACATTCTAGTCATGCGGGTCCCAAGAGAAAAAGAACAAGACATTCTGCGACTCCTAATGATACACCACCTATTAAACGAAGAAGATAATTAAAATTTTTATTCGTAATTCTTTGAAATAATGTGGCTCTCTCACCACCATCTTTAAATTGTCTGATAACCTTGACCGGGTTGAATTATTGGAAGATTATCAACATTTGGATGTTTGATAACTTTAACTGGGCTAGACTATTGGATTGTTATCAGAATTTTGTGGTCAGGTTTACGTTAGGTTATGTTTTGAAATATGTATAGTGTAGGAGGACTGTACCAGACAAACCTGCGGACACAAGTTATTGCAAGAAATAATCAATAAAGGTATAGAATATCAGACGAAGTGAATAGTCGACAGGGATGTGTATTATGTAGGGGTTCTTTAACATTAGGGGGCCTTGAAGCAACATCTAATGGTAGAGGGCATTCTGCGCACAGAGATCCATCTACTTCATACTTCAAGAATAGATCTCTTCCCTAAATGGTCGCCATATTAAAAAAATAGTATACATATCCTGTTTTGTAATGCGTTTCTACTCCATTTCACATCTGTCATACACACAAAGACTAAATAAACTTTTTCAATTTTATTAAATTGAAGCAGAATAACTACTTTACAAAATTCTCGAAGTATACTTAGTGTTTTCGACTGAAATCGTCGATTTAGGACTTAAAATGTTGGTTCACTAGCTTAGTGTCTGTAGACAGGCAGCCTAAGTTTAGTATGGGGATAGGGGAGAACAAATCTATGTATTTTGTTGGTAGGGTGGTCTATAAACCCCTCCCCCATATTCCCCCTCCCCATCCCCCTAACTGGTGATTTTAAGTAGAAAACCCATCATATTGTCCCATAGAAAGTGATATAAGGATGTGAGGATTTTTCACATAAGGCCATATAGAAAAAATATTCTGATTCTCATATAATCCTGCGTCACTTCAAAAGAGCCACATGTCCGTTTTTATTTCAAAAAATAAAAAAATGGGCTAATTAATTATCACATGTAAATATTTTATCCTGGTTACAGGAAGTGAGTCTATAAACATATTTGAATGAATTGATAGGCTCATTTAACAAGTACACAATCCTGATAAATGTTATTGACAATCACAAATGATACTGGATAATCATACATTCCTACAAACAACAATTGGATGATTATAGAAGTCATTTAACCAAGTAGTGATCCTTTGACAAAATAAAAATCTCCCTCCTGCATCAGATTTTTAGTAAGGATTGTCTGAGAACAAGAATATTTTTTTGGTTTGGCCTAATCATATGTAAATACCATACATGTAGATCACCATTTTGTATTTCATCATTTCATTCATATTTAAATATTCATCATCCCTTTGTCCACTGTAATTCATGTAAAAATTAAAAATAGTTAAAATGCTTTCTCGTTTTTATTAATTCCATTTTCATTACCCCAGTTGGAGCAGAACAGTAAGACGATAAACCCCATTTCATTTCATATTTTTAAACAATGTTGAATTATTAGCTGGTTGTATGGTCTTATGCGTGGACTTTAGATCATAAGATCTATTATTAAGAAAAGTGGAATGGTTTCGATCCCCCAAGCTTGTACGTGACAAGGAGTGGGGTGGCATGTTTGACTTTGTGGGTTTACTCTGGGTCCTCCGGTTTCCTCCCATTGCTAAAGTTCCCAACAAGCAAGCAAATTATTTAAATAGAATTAAACCATAACATGTTAGTCCCAAAAGGACCTAGTTTGTGTCAATTGGTTGTAGAAATAAATCATTTCTCTCTCTCTCCATAATAAGGAAAGTAAAGGAGTATAATGTCTCATTTACACATTTTCGATCATTTTAAGACTAACATTTTATGACTAGGTGTACAGTGCGTGCTAGAGATGAGCATTATCCCTTGACTGCGACTTCCCTCACTACTCTTCAGTGGGTAAGATGCTAGATTGCTAGCCTGGAGGTCGCAGATTTACCCCCAGTGTTGGCGGAGAATGTTCATCGGGATTATCCAGTGTGATTTCTCCTTGTCAGTGGTGCAGGATGGACGGCCTGACAAGGACAGCTGTCTAGTTGTTCAAAAGGTACGTGCATGTAAAAGATTCCTTGGCAGTTGGAATTCAATATAAAAGTAGACTGTAGTGCCGCTATCGAGGCAAAATTTCTGTCATAGCACACTGTATGGTGTATGCCCGTCTTCATTAGCCCATTCCATTTCCCTACTCTTTATCAATTTTCAAACTGTTCTTTCATATGCACCAAAGTGTGCATGGGCAGACCTTGTTTTTTCATCCCATCTGAATCACTGGGCAACACTTTAGGCCTTGTTAGCTTTTTGCACAATTAACATCTCCGATCTGACCAGAGTACTCTATATCTCACGACAGGAAATGTAATTTTCAATACATTTCTGAGCCTTTAATAAGGGCATTTGGGATGGTTGAAGTCCATCTTCATTAGCCCAGTTCCGAGCAAAACAGTAGGACGTTAACCCCATTTCATTTCATTTCCTATGATGACTGGAGTCTTGTTTTGTGTCAGTTTTATTTATTTTAAAACATCAATATGATGATTTTTGAGAATCTGCATTAATATTCGGTCTTTGGCATTCTTTATATTATATCCTTGGTTGTATATTGTCGCCACCCCTGTTGTCCGTCTGGCTGTCGGTCGGTCCGGCATTGTAGTCTTACACAATTGACTTAAAACTTAGACATGAGATAAAGAATCCTATTGATTCTCGAGGATTTCCGATGATTACTGCCTTTGTTGTATAATTTAGCCCACATCAATATCAATTTTTGTTCTTTGGAAACACTTTGCTGCCTTTTTCTTTGGGGATGATTTTTGGACCAGGAACTGTTCGCTAACTGCTTCTCATTTTGTTCTTTAGATAACAAACCTTAATCTCTCAACCTTCTGTGTTTCGAGATAAGATATGAGGCCATTACCTTCAACGTAGCACATGCGGGAGCGATTCGCACCCGGCATTTGTAAACAAAATAGACAATATTTTTAATAAAAACAACGATTGATTATTGTTATTTATAATATTTCTGCCAGACCCAACTACAATTAGGTATATAATCCTACCTGAAACGGGTACAAATCGTCGTTTTTAAAATCGAGTCGTTAAGCCCGTTACTAAGACCGCCATCTTTTTAAACGATACGCTGTCATCATGAAGGCGGGGCTAAATATAAGGCTTTTATAACAGCCAATCAATAGGGCAACCTAAAGCTCTGTAACTAAAGCTCTGTCAGACAAAAACAACACTTCATTAATTTAAACGCGAATATTTGGAGTTAGGCGACAGTTGTGCCACTACATTGGCCTCTGTAAGTTTAATTAATCATAATAGCATAAACTTATCTTATTTTAAAGATGTTACATGCATTAATAAAGAAATTGAGTTTGCCACTTGGAACTAAAGGCATCCAATCGTAGCTAAAAACAAACACAGCAGTATATCTCAACGTTTTTAGCTACGTTCTCGTAGCTACTTGTTCTTGTTCAAGGCCCCGTCAATTCTAGTTCAGCTCTGTTGAATATGTTGAATATGTTCTTCGATCTTGGTTAAGCTATAGATAGCTTCTGGATCGCTTTGATACTGTCTTGACTTCTTTCTGTGGGGTTTGCGCATATAATAATTATCGCGAACGACTACTATTTCAATTGCATTACACAAATTCACAGTTTTTGACTATATTAATGTTCGGTTCTCAATCTTAAGGTAGTTTTTGATTTTTTCAATATTTAATAACATGTTAGCTTGAATTTATTTTCTTCATTTTTCCAGGCTATATTTAGGTTTGACTTAAACTGATTGAGCGTACTTGAATTGGCCGCAAATGCTGGCAATGAATTCCAGTCATTTATAACTCTTATTGAAAATGAATATTTTCTAACATCTAGCCTTGCACGTATCTTTTGTAGTTTTAAATTGTGTCCTCTTGTTCTAGTGTCTTTATTTAGCTTTAGAATGTCCTTATTAACAATTGTGTCTTTTCCACTAAGAATCCTGTAGACCTGTATGACATCATAGTGTTTCCTGCGGTATTCTAGAGATGGAAGACCCAGACTGATTAGACGCTCACTATAAGAATGGTTTTGAAGTCCTAGCACTAGTTTCGATGCTCTTCGCTGTACGTTTTCTATTTGGATAATTTCTTTTTTTAAAAATGGATGCCAGACGCTAACAGCATATTCCAGATGCGGTCTTATAAGTGACTTGTATAATTGTAGAAAAATGTTTCGATCTAGGTTTGTGAAGGTCCTGCGTATCATTCCAAGCAATCTGTTGGCCTTTTTTTTATGTTATTGGCGATGTGTTGATCAAACTTTAGATTATCCTGAAATGTAATACCAAGGTCTTTTTCTTTGGAATCTTGATGTAATTCTAGTTGGGTTCCTGCTTTGCCCATTAAGTATTTCCTTTTTGAAATGTTGTATCCGTAGTGTATCGATTTACATTTGTCTGTGTTTAGTTGAACGTAGGTCTTATTACACTCGCCCAGTACGTTCAGGAATCGTCCTATTGAATCCTTGTCGAAACTGAAACCGCTTCCCAGTCAATTTTACTGGGCAACTTTTTACTGCTAAACGGGGGGGGGGGGGTCAATCCGTGTGAACGCCTGTACAATGTAAAGGAACATCTTAGAGACCTTGCTTACCTCGCTAGAGTCAGTATGAGCGACACAACACGCTGTTTTGACATTTTCAACAAAACATTGATAGCGACATGTGAGTGGGTATTGTTTTGGGGTTTTTTTTTATCAAGAATTCGATAAACTAAAAATTGCATTGATTTGGGCTTATTTATTCTACGTGCTCAAAACAATAGGCCTGTCGTGTAGCGGTGTTTCTATATTTTTCTCCGATATGCTATATAGGATAGATGGTATTGTTTCAGACACAACTTCAAGCCCAAGGTATAGTGAGTGGTCTCGGGTAGGCTACTGCGCTGGAGATATAAATAATTAATAAGCTTTCGATCAACTATAAAAATAATCTGTGCGGAAATTCTCAAAACCACCTAAACGGCCATTAGCAAAAGACGGGATATAACTTAAAGACTATATGCGTCATTTTAGCGCTATATGAATCCCTTGCAAAAAACAATATTGTGAATGTTGGATCTCAAATAGAAATAGCAGTTTAAAAATATTTCAATTTTGTTCAGTATATATAAAGATATGTTGAGTTGAAATTTCATCGATCTATATATTATGGTGCTTCATATGTAATAAGTCCGCCGCAGGATTTATTTTCCGTGAACCAGTTGGAGGAGCTGTTTTAAATCGGAGTAAATCTAAGCCGGGAAATTATTCATACTTCTCGCAGTGTTTCGTTTGATTATACTTAATCCCACTTAACACTGCTGTAAAGGAAGCAAATTTCTGTTCCAAATTAACAACAAATATCTAACTGCGTAAGAATATCATTACGCTTTAAACAGAGCTCCAAATTGGACCAAATATGTTTACATAACGTCACGTCATGACTCACGATTTCATTATGCCCAATTAACAAGACTATAGCAGAAAAACAAATTGCGTGACAAACGAGGCTATCAAAACGAATACAAAGTAAACAATACTGTTTGGAGACGAACAATACTTTCACCGTTTTTAATACCTTAAATCACTGTACAAAGTTTTAGGGAAGACCCCAAATTAAACGAAGGGCTGTCATGTTGCTGTACTTGCTGTAAATTTGATTGAACGGGAAGAATAGACACACTCCCTCAAAAGCTCAAGTATCAGAAGTCAATCCAGCAATGGCCAGAGAGGGATTTCTCGGACATTGCTTCAGGAATATGGAAATTATTTGGTATTTTGATTTTATTTGCTTAAAGGCTCAATACCACTCTTGTTGTAACTGAATAATATGTCCCAATCTTTATTCTGTTCAACAAATTGTACTATTTTACAATATTCCAATTAATTGGTGATATAAATTTCATCTTAACACACCTAATTTAAAAAATTGGAAAAATTCAACTAAATGATTTGAAAAGCCTGACGTAAAGCTTTTCAAATGTGACTTGGATTTAAAAATATTTTTGAACCCTCTGGACAAGTAAAATAGGATTTAATGGATAATTTACACATCAGGTCAGACACTAACACATCTAGTACTAATAATAAGGCTATTTTTTTTTATTTTCTTGGGCTGTCAAGCCAGCAAGAGTGTTATTGTCCCTTTAATCAAAGGTTAAATAATCAATACGAGTAGCCTACATTTTGCGCGGATTAGCGAGAAATTTGATATTTTAGCGAAAAATGCAAATGACGCATTGTAACTTTAAGCTATCGATCAATTATCAAGTAAGAGAAGGAGAATTGCACCACACAAACAAAACACATACGACATACCTGCAGACACGTTTGAAACACATTAAATCAAATGTG